ATATATATATATATATATGTTTAGAAATCATCTAGGGAGCATATTTTTATAACTAATTTTCTTATTTTTCCATGTGATAATATTTTTCCATTTTGCATTATAATAAATGCACAATGTCTTGACTAAATATGTACTCAGTTTCATTTCTTCAAGCAATTTCAACTATTACTAACTACAACTTGGCTTTACCGTCCGTGAAGTACCTTGGACTTCATTACCACACAACTCAACTTTTTCCGGCTTTTTCTCAATTTTTCCTCCAATTTTTGATTTTGATTTTTTTAAGATCACTTTCTACCTCATCAAGACATCTTTTTCTAGGTCGTCCGACCTTTATCTCTCCCTCTAGTTTTCTTTTATAGATTATCTTCATTTCTCGTTCCCCACTCATTTGCTCCAGATGTCCGAGTCATTGTATTCTTTCTATTTTTATTAAATTAACTATATTTTTTCTTTATATAGTTAACTTTAATTGCTGCTAATTCTTGAAAAATCTCTGCATTTGATTGGTCAGTATATATTGGTCCATATATATATATATATATATATATATATGTTTAGATGAATTTTTCGAAAAAAAATTGAAATTATTTTCCAACTCAATAAATTATTCATATTTTCGTTATATTTTATATATTGGGCAAAATCATTCAGTACCAGATGCCAATCATGTATCTTTAATGCTGTTTCTTCCATGAGGAGTCAAACCCAGCTGAAAATAAACTGCAGTTTTTCTACAAAATTTAAGCATTTTTGAAGTTATTCAACAGTCTACAGTAGATTTTCTGTGGAATTACTTTGCGGGTAATGTAAAGTAGCTTTGCAGTAATTTATTTCAAAAAAATTGTCAGCTATTGTCTACATAATTACTGTAGTTTATGTAAAGTCACTTTAAAATCATAAGTTTAGAAAATGAGGAAACTTTTAATCCCTAGTTACATTGCAGTAAATTTAAAATAATTATACAGTCATTGTTTCAGAAGCATATTTTCTAATGCATCTGCAGAAAAACTGCAACTTGTTAAAGTGAGAGAGTCTTACGGCAATCGAAGATTTTGATCTTTCAAACTCGCTGTCCTCGTTTTTAATTCTTCAACATTTTGCAACTTTTTTTTCTTGATTATTAATTAATTCTTGATTATTAATTTTTTAGATTTTTATACGAACTCTAAGCATGCATATATTAAGGACAGAGATAAAGTACGTTATCTGCATTTATAAAAAAACTCATAATATATATATTTGACCTAATTGTTGTTTTATAATTTTGAAGCAACAAAAATTTTTAAATAAAATATCTTACACTATTTAATTATTTTAAAATTTACTTAAAATTAAGTATTTAAATATCTCTGCATTTTAGATATTTCATAACTGAATTAATTTTTATCAACTTATTATTTATTGATTTATTTCTTATTTATAAAATTTTTCTTTTACGTAAAATTGTGGTAAAAGCAATATCACAACAAATCACCACTCTACTAAATTTTTTAAGATTTTTTTCTGTAGCTTATTTTTAGGTAAGAAGACACTTATAAAATTTTAACTGCAAGTTTAAATATTTCTCCATTGCTAATTTTTTGTCTTTCCGTAAATTCGCTACTAAATTAATTCAGTGATTTCATTTTAATCTATCTCTCCCTGGATTAAAAAATTATCCAGTATGAGAGTTGTTCTACTATGAGATTTGTTCATAACAATGTGTAATTTTTCAAACTGTCCTAAAAATAAATATCAAATCTATATACAGAATAATATAGATTATAATCAAATTAGATAATTCCAATTTCAGTGTAACAGAAATATCGATGAGCCTAATAAGCCTTCATTACTTCAGGTTCATTGCAAACGGCTAAGAATAAATTAAATTTATTGAAGCATGGGTGGTATATCCTCTAATCAGATTAAGCATAAGTAGGCTTATTGTAATAAATCTAAAAGTTGTAAGCTGAACAAGAAAATAATGGATTACTTTCCGATTAGCCTGGTGAATTGTAAAGAGCCTGTTCCTAGTTTACGATATAAGTCAATTTAAAAAATAATGAATCAGTTAAATTGAAACAAAAAATTTTGTATTAAAAAGGGTGATAATTATTTAAACAATTCCCATCCCATTATATCCTATGTTACACTAATATTAGAAGTAACTCTTTCACATCGTTATGATGTTTCTCAGCTTTAAATTTGAAACAGATGAAAAGGTTTTTAAAGAGGTGCGGTCTCTTTAACATGCAACAGAAAATGTACTCAGCTATACAAATGCAAATATATCATTGATCAAATTGTTACTGTTTTATTAAATATTATTACCTTATGTTATCGAACATTTCATGATATGTGTATCAGTTGGTTTTAAATAGAAATATAGTAAATTCTTCCTAAGACGGACAAAGTATAAATAGGAATTCTATGTAAAACAGAAAATGTAGCATAGCCTGTCCAACTCTATATTGTAAAAAGAATGTAAGTTCTTAGCGATAGTTTCGAGAAAAGCGACATGACAACTATTTTCTTTCCTTTGCTAGTGGGACGGTAAAATAGAATTTCAGAAAACCGAAGAAAAAAAAATTGATAGTTGAAAAACTTTCTTTTTTGTAATATGTAACTTATTATACAGAAATGCAAAATATATAAAAACCTCTATTTTTTGAAATCTCACTCACTTTTACTGAACGGCAGTATAATAAGTAACAATAATTAAAAATTTTTTAAACTGGATTCTGTCTAACGCGGAAATGAGAAGTTTAAGAAGCCAGCAAAAAATGTGAAAATTCTTATGGGTCGGAAAAGTTTCCATGACTTGTGCTAGTATTCCCAATTAATTTTTTACAAGCATGTTTATTTACTTATTTGCGTGGAGCACTGGTGACGAATTTGTGCTGTTAAATTGCATATTTCGGCGAGTTTCTAAATTCAATAATATAAACTCAATGCACAAATAGAGGATAGCAACAGAAATATTTCAGACTTGGTTCAATATTCAAGATTAACAAGATTATTAAATTATTTTAATGCAATCTTGACCATCTCGTCGTCAATCCTGACCGAGTTAACTATTCTGTTTAAAGCCTATCATTGTTGACCGATGACGAATTAACTTATCATTGGTTAGCAACGTTTGGGCAATCAATCCTGACCGAGTTAACTATTCTGTTTAAAGCCTATCATTGTTGACCGATGACGAATTAACTTATCATCGGTTAGCAACGTTTGGGCAATCAATTTTTAGAATGTTTCACAGTTTCTTCCACTATCAATTACAAAGTAATAGCCTAGAAATTATGTAGTTTCTGTGTAAAATTCCCGGTCAATAAAGTGTTAATATGATGGAATTTCAGTTTCTACTCCGCTTAAAATTCCATATTTGAGTTAGACGGGAAACTGTCTAAAGCGGAATTTTTGTTTGGCGATGATTGATCTAGCTTCGAAGATAGATCTTTGACGAAGTATATCGCAAATCGTCTTTTAAATACAGCGTAATCTAGCGTAATACAGCGTAATCTAGCGTAATACAGCGTAATCTAGTGTAATACAGCGTAATCTAGCGTAATACAGCGTAAATCTAGCTTCGAAGATAGATCTTTGACGAAGTATATCCCAAATCGTCTTCAAAATACAGCGTATTATAAACGAGGGTCAACAAATAATCTAATTTTTGTTGTTTTCACTTAATTCTTAACAAATAATTTTTTATATGGTAGAACTTTAGTTCATTTTCATTGAATTATATTACATTTTTACAGCGCATAAAAGGGTTAATTATTCTTAACTCTTGTTTTATTTAGATTGTTTTTAGTTATTTATATGATGTTTAATATAATCTTTTCCCTCCCCTTATTTAGCATCAAACTTATATATTTTTATATAAACCTTTTCAAAAAGTATTAAATTTAATTTTAATCTATTTTATTTTCTGTTAACGAAATTTTAATATACTATATAAGTTTCATAAAAAATATTTAAATATCTTACCTAGAGTCATGCTTGCTGCACCTGCTAGAGTGTTAAATGAGTTGCAGATAAGAATAAATAGCCAAAATGATAGAAGAGTCTTCAATTTTTCATGAAAACTCAACTCCATTGTTTTCAGTTAATTCGTCTGAAAAAAATTCATGCACAATATTAAATACACTTTCAATTAAAATCGAATTTCGATCAAATAAGGTTAAATTCCTCAGCATATTAAATGTAAAATATCCTCAAGCTTATGCACGGGATTTCTAAAAAAAACTGAATTACTATTATTCATATTATTTATGGCCTACATAGGATAATGCTTTATTTCTTTACCAGCCATTAACAAAAAGGTAATGGTTATATTAAAGGCATTTAAAATTTTGTAAAATAAAAAATAGAGAAGAGGGATGTAGACTTGAGATTAGGGTCAGCAAATGGAATATTTCGGTTATTTATCACTTAAAATTCCTAAGCAAATTTTGGTAGATTGACGAAACTGTGCGACAATTTCATTTGTAGTTATAGGACAAAACACTAAATTCCTAAAGAATAAATTTTGCAAGGTTTCAAGGAGACATTGGACGTTCAAAATGAAAAAAAGACCTTCAAAAATCGATTATTGGTTTTTGAAATGTTAAAAAAATGTACACTTTACTAAGTAATAGGCAACAAACCTTGATTAAATCAGAGTTTTTCTTACCGAGTTATAAGATTACGAATTTAAAGGTACATACATCAATATGCATTTCTCGAAGTTGCTTTTTCTCGTAATAGAATTTTTCAATGTTCTCACAACTTCAAACCAGTTTTTGTTTTATTGTTATTAAATTTTTTTTCCTTACTTTTTGTTTACTTCTAAATGTATTTTATTGACTCATATCTAAATTTAATTTTTTAATAAATTAGCAAGCATAATTAAAGCATGTGGTGACGTTTTTGGTGACAAATTAAAATTTAGTGCCTAATTGTGTTATATTTTTATACTGTTACCCATTATTAGTTAAGTTTATTTAAATACCTATAAAAACGTGTTTGGGTAAAAATTAAATTTCGTTCACAATGAACTTTTTAATTACCAGCATTAAAAAGCCATACTTCAGCTACAACTTTAAAAATAGTTATTATTTTTTCCTAAACCATTGCATACTAACTTATTCTAATGTTACCAATATTTTGTTAAAATTTGAAAATGATCGAATAAAAATTTCCCTTTTTGTGTTTTGAACGTAGTGTGTCCCCTTAACAAACAAGGTTTTTATCGTGGAAAAGTAACTTCGTAATATTTGCTTTAATTGAGACTTTAGACTTTTTTATTCATTGTTTTTAACAATAGGAGATGTTATATAGTGAACAAATATGCTTATTTAAATTTTTTACTGAGTTTAAAAGAACATAGGGCTATTTTATTGCGCCTCCCACGGCTCTTGGAAAAATTCAATACTAGAAGTAAATTCAAGTTTATTCTAGCAAGAATTTCTTTTTACGATACCATTTTAACGTTTAGTTATCAAGAAGAGCTAAGTTCATCTACAAATATGTTTTCCCTATAAAATAGTGCATACTGGTTGTCACAAATGTTTCAAAAAATCAATTAAGTCACAAAATGATCGAGGCTTTTAGCACATTTTTCATCATAACTATAAACACCTTGATTAAGTATATGGGATAAAAATGTGAATTAATTATCAACAAATTACTTGTTAGGATGCTTATTTAATAAATTAGATTATATTTGTAAAATATTTCATTTGTTTCCAGTTAGGACTACAGTAGTTATATTATTTTCAATTATTTCTTGCATAAGAGCTAATCTATGAAAAACAAATGCTTTAATGTGTTTTCAGAACTTTTTTAAAATTTAAAATATTGATTACACAAGGAATTTCTTAAATTTATTTTACATAAGTAGCAAATTGGAGACTTCAAAAACTCTGCTAATGCTTCTCAACTGTTATTTCATATCGGTTCGCGAAGCTACTTTATCAAATAAAAACTAAATAAAATTTTTCTGCTAAATAAATATAGTACACTTCTATTTGAGTAACTTGTCATTGAAAAAATTTCTTTTTTGCACAATTGGTATATAGTTTAGTTATTAAATATAAATTAATATTTATAAACCCGAAGAGTCGCAGATTTTTATAAAATTTAAAGTAGTTGTGAAACAACAACTGAGGTAATCAAAGCTTGTTTAATTTTGCCTGTGATTAAAAATTTGAACAATACTATAATCAGATCATATATATTGATGTTATTGTTTAACTTGATTACAAATCATGTTTGTTAAAATAATTGTAAATTAATTTCATTAAATGTAAAACATTGTAATGAAATTCGCTACCACTTTATATAGCAAAGAAAAGTCATCCGTTAAACCAGTGAATTGGGTATTCATGTGTATATTAAGCTTAAACATTAGTTAAAATAGATCTGGTTAAGATTATTTACTCCAGACAGTATTTTTAGATTAAAAATAGTTCTATTTTTATTTTAATTTCTTTTTTAATAAGTATTAGTGGATTAAGTAATTGGTTTCATGAATTGCTCACACCGCTTGATTTGGGGCTAATGTGGACTATTATTAAAAGGAGTATACATACAAATAGCTTTCTTATCATTCTAAATGAAGAAAAACGTTAAATTTTATTTAAAAATATTCTAGAAATGTTCAAAAAAATAATTAGTAATATTTTTTTTAAATTAAAAAAAATGGGTTACATTAGCTTCTTCTTTCTCGTAATTATGCTCCCAATCTAATAAAAAATTAAGATTTTCAGAATTGCCGCAACATACTATTATAATTTAATTTTTTTATCTTATTTTTTTAAACTATAAATCATTACTTTCAGATTTTAAAATTAGCAAGTATTATAATGATGTCTAAATTTAACGAAGAAATTTTGTCAAAATTTGATTAACATTTAGCTATGATGACATTTAGGGGATAAACGTTTAGCTATAAATACAGCAAAGAAATTACAAAAATTGCAATTCATTTTTGATCAGAGTTTAATCTAATTTTCACACTTATCTACAACGATTTTTTTATGTGGTTGTAAAGTATTTTAAAGTGGTATCTAATACATCAAACCTCGCATTTTAAATCACTAAAAAAAGTCATAAATAATTTACTTTAGTCAAATAAATTTAAAAATGCGTTCTTTTTTTAAACATCTGTTATTTTAATTACGATAGTGAAATATCAAAAAGTCACTGAAATATCACAGGAATTTTCATATATTACTCAAGGTTATTGAAACGGTACTTGGTCATACAAAGTTTTTCAGAAACTGAAAATGCGTCTGAAACCTAAGCAAAAATTTTTGTCTGGTACCCTGTAAAAAATTCCGGATCAAATTCCAGTAAAAAATACCAGCACTTGGGATGAAAGTACTTTCTACCATAAGAATCCTATTTTACCATAAACTTTTACAGAACAAATAATTTGTTATACCGTAATTTTTACAATAATTTTTACTGTTAAATCACTGAATAACTGCATTTAAATAAATATTACCGTCAAAATTACGGTTTGAAATTTTACGGTAAAAAATGAATTTTCAAATTACTCAACATAATGCAAAATTTAGTTTTAATGTATCGTTTTCCGTATTTATTTCATTATTTAAAATGTTACTCTATTGGAAAAATATTATGTCTATATCGTAGTAAGATATGCTGCTAAAAATTCCGGATCAAATTATGATGTAAAGTACGCACTTTAGGTTCATCATCCATAAAATTTATTTTTACTGTAAAATATTATGCGTAATTTTGACAGTACTATTTATTTAGTTGGAGTGATTCAGTGATTTTACTGTAGTTATTATTGTAAAAAATTACGGTATATAAGATTTTTTGTTCCGTAACTTGTTCCTGAAAAAATGGATTTTACGGTAAAAGGTATCGGCACCCTAAGTGCCGGTGCTTTTTACCGTAATTTGATTCAGAATTTTTTACAGTGTATGATCTAGTAAGGTAAGTTTCCTTAATATTTGTTGTTGTTTAAAAATGTTTTATTAAGTTTGAAAAGTGTTAGACAAGTTTATAAGCTTAAATAGTTAATAGAAAAAATTATTGTACATCGTACCTTCCGGTGCATCAATCAGTCATCAAAAGATAATCGAGAAAAACATATGCAGGAGAAAAAATATATGCATTATTAATAGATTAATCACTTGTCTTGGTATTGACAATGTTATTTGTTTTTATTATGAAGCTGCTATATGTCTTTCAATAACTCTTATTTGGGATCGTTAAACTTTTCCCTTCATGACGTAATTTTTTTCTAACTTTTGAAAAAATATTTCGCATTTCTATACTACTAAGGATTTTTAGTATAAAATAACAAGACGTCAAGTTCACTAATTAATTAAATATAATCGCAAATAAAATAAAAAACAAACACTTGTGACTTCCAAATTTTAATTTTCTTGCAAAAAACAGTATTTTTAATTCAAATAATAAATAGGTTTATCATATATTTATTTTTAAAATATGTAAGTGTAAATGTGTTAAATGTAAAAATGTTACTGTTTATTTTTTAATTATGCAATGTTTTTAAAAATTTTGTGTTTTAAATATTTTCCGTTCGTTAATATTTTTTTAACTTTAAAATTTATTATTTTATTTCAAAATATGTTTATGTGGTCTTCTAATTGGAGCTTTCAAATTAAATGAGCACAATAAAGTTTTATAAACAATTAACAACAGTTCTATTAACTCTGAAGGGTATTTCAAAAATTAAAAAAAAACATTAAAAAAATTTAAAAAATTACAAACCTTTGTCTTCTGATATCTAATAATTCTTTTAGAACATATTCGAACTTCCTAAGCTTCCATACACTAAATGTGTGAGAACTAACTTTCCTAGGGCGTTTCTTTGCTTGAAATGATAACAGCCAATAGGAACAGTCAATAAGGTGCGCGTGTCTTTCAAAAAGTAATAGTGAGAACTAGAAGTTCAAACAGCTCGTTTTTTACTTGTTTGTAGACATTTCAATCAATATATTGCTTTTGTTGTGGCGAAATGACTTTTTTCTGAGCATAGATTATACGTGTCGGCTATAATTTTCAATACAAATGACATTTTTCTCCTCAAGTCAAAGGCATTTTGTTTAGATTTTTTTTAACTTACATGGATTCCGTCAAACTCATTACGCATTCTTTTGTGCAATAGAGTTTTTGAATAATAAGTCATGAAACCGTCTTTTGTAAAATGACTTCAATTGAATTTTCACGTGGCAGTCATATTAAATATGTTAATAAAAACTCGTTAATGAGGCAACAGGAAACAATTTGTAGTCTTTTTCAATAAATGAAATAAAAGATAGGCGTAGTTGTTGACCGACTGCAGTGAAAAGTATCGATTTTAAGCATTGTAAATAAATTTAAATTTAAATAAAAACGGACAATTTCACAGATAAGTAATATTTAAGCAAATCAGTTCCTAATCTGCAAATAAAAAACTTTACATTTACGGAAAAAAACTGTCAGTTTCTGTTTCAGTATAAAATTGTTTATTTCTCCGAAAAATACTATTATTTAAAAGCAGACGCCTACTTTTAAAGCAAACTCCATTAAGTAACTATGTCAACATTGTGGTTGGTACTAGCCGAGATTAGCATTCGTACCACCAGTTGAATCTGGGATTCGAACCTGGGTCACTTCATTGGGCTCGGCGAGCGCTTTGTCTCTTGAGCTACCGCAATTCTCGTATTTCAGTATTAAGAAAAAGCTTAATTTTTTTAAACTTAAAATTCTTACTTATTGAAGTAATATTTAGGTCCAAAAATGTTTAAAACCCATAGTAGGCCCACTCGTACAAAAATGTTTGGAAACTGAATTTACCAAAACAATAATTCCTTAAGAAATATAATATACCGACAAAATATTAGTTTAACCATAAAGTCGAACCACAGTTTCATTTATACGATGTTTAAAACCATAAAATAATTGCTGAAAATTAAAAGCAAGTACAGAGCTACTTTAAATCTGTTTATAATTTATTAAAATTAGTTTTGAACAAATTGTTATTTTCTTAAGATTTTTGTTTCGCAAAAATTGTTACGTCGAAGAAACATTAATAAAAGTAAAAATATTTTATAAAAATTATAACTATCATGAAAAATATATTAGTATAATTACTATGTTTTATGAAAAAATAATACTATAATTACTATGTCTTATTAAAAAATATTACGGTAGAAGGCAAAATAACGTGAGCCTCTTTTTACGCTTGTTGCAATTCATGTAAACGTTACATCAACACAAATTCTGCAATCTTTCTTTCTAATATTTCAAATTTTGTGAACAATTGAAAACTCAATAGAAAAGTGTATTAAGGGACATAGTGGGGATATTCATTTTTGATTTTTCCTTTCTTCGAAAAGAAAATACGGAAGAAAATATGAATGGAGCTGATGTATCATTTATATTTTCTTCCATATTTTCTTTTTATTCATATTTAATTATTTCTTAATTTTTGCTTTTTCATTTTTACTTGTACTTATTTATCTTTGATTTTTTCTTCTCTTCCACCATTTTTTTCCAATAATACTTAAGTATCTTTTATCTTTCGCTCATTTTTGTTTTCACTTGTGCATGTTTTTCCTTTTTCTTCTTTTCATCTTCCTTCTTCTCTGTTCATTGATAATTAATTGACAACATTGATAATTAAAGTCCCTTATTTTACTTCTGCTCTTCCTTTTCAATTGGTATATCCAATTCACAGTTCTCGTTCTGAGGTATATTAATAAAATTGTTTCTTGAAAAATGGAAGGCAAAATGTTTTGGTATGTACTAAAGATCTTATATTTCCCATGACATAAACTTTCGTAAAAGGAGTAAGGCTAATTAAGCTTTTTTTTTAATACTAGTATCACAGACATTCCATAAAATACATTTAAACTTGAAAATGCCGTAAATTTTTTCTTGTTTCACAAATTTAAATATTGGCAGTTTTTTCTTAAAATAAAATATTTATCCTGTAGTTTTCATAATATTCCTACAAAAAAAATGTCTAAAATTTGAACTTGTTTAAGCAACTAACAACAAGCAGCTCGCACCGCCTAACCATGAATAAGATTGTAGCTCTGTTTCAGGGCTATATCTCTTAACGGCCATTGTTGGAAGACCAATACACGTGGACGACGTGGACAGCACCTGAGCTTGTACCCCTTCTCCAAACTTCAACACCACAATCAACCAGAGAACCTTAGGTCATGACAGATTTAACGTGCATATACACGTCCGTTGTTTCTGGTTTTGTCGACTGACAGAATCGAACTCACAATCCCCAGCTGTGGTGTTTTCGATGCCTTAACCATTAGCGTGCTCCAGAAACGCCAAACAACAAAAAATCCTCTGGAGGTTATTCATTTGATTATCATAAGCATAAAATGATTTAAACTTCAATATAAATGAAGGTATTGGGCCAAATGTTGTTGTTACATATGGCTCTCTACAATGTTCAACTTTAAGTGGACATAAACAAGGAGTAAAAAGGAACAAAATTACAATAACAAACAAAGAAAACACATGACAAACACCTATTAATACAAAAAGAACACATAGAAAAAATTAAAGTAAGAAAAAAAATACATATATATACAGTGAAGAATGAGAAGTAGTCTTTACAGAGAGTTCATGTGATCTCTGGCATCCCAGTAAAGTTTACGCAGATCACCCCGCTCTTGGGATTGTTTGTCCAGTAAAGGGCATACAAGCAAGTGGTCTGAGTTCATCGTTCCCGAATTGCAGATTTGGCATTCGCTAGATGGAAGGATACCTATTCTGTTGAGGTGCTCTGCCTTGCACTCATGGCCTGTTGAGAGTCTGAAGTTTGCCACGGCCTTCTTACGAGGACTGTGACAAAATTTCTTCCAACTGTTTTGGATGTTAGCCCAGGGTTTTCCAGTGGATTTTACTGCTTGGTTGAGCTTTAGGACGGTCATAAGTTTCTCGGAAAATTGTTTTTTAAGGGAGTCTGGTGGAATCGGTTTATTACATTGTGGTTCGAGTGTCCCTTTCTTGGCTAGTTGGTCTGCCTTTTCATTGCCATTGATTCCCACATCGCTACTATAACATTGGGTCAAATGTAATAGTATAGGATATTAAAATGTTTAAAAAAACGCAAATTGCATACTCCTAAGGATTCAGCTTACTCTTTAAGCATACTCTTTTTTTTCCATTTTCTTGTTAATTATTGCATATTCTTCTTAATACATTCAAATAAAGAGAACAAAAAGCCAAACTCAGACATTCAAAGTTGAAAGCCAGGATAAAATGGGATTTGTTTACTTTGGCATCTTAGTCTAATATGGCTCATTTAAAAATCTCACAAAATTCAGTGGCAGGTTTCATCGGAAAAGTGAAGGGAACAAAATCAAAATGAGAAGAAAACTTAAATAACTGATATTTAGACAAATGATGTATTATTTCTGATATAGGTTATATAGGAATTAATAACTTAAGCTATAATGCTATTATATACAAAAAATGCAATTTTTTATGCACTTCACTAAGCTATCTAGGCAAGTGAGGAATTGTATCCGAATTATTTTTTTGAATGAATCGAAGGAAACTAAATTCGAGTCAAACTGACAAGCATTTTTAAAAGATAAAAATATTTTTATGTTTGCTAAAATATTATTTTTAGTTCAACCTATTTGCGAATTTTACATTGCTAAGTAAAGTATTTTAACTTAAGAATTAAGTATCTGAATTATATATAATCTATATCGGAAAGATATTCAGTTTAGATGCGTTAAGAGTTTTACTAAAAAATGCACAATTCAAAAATAGTATTCTTTTTACAAACAAACCTTATAATTCTGAACTGTAAGACTATATTATTCTGAACTACATTGGCTTTAGTTTTGTTTCATTAGATTCAGAGTAAAAACTATGTAAGAAACAATACTTGACCTGTGTAGATAGCAATAGGAGATACAAGTCGGAAATTGTACTTTTTATACATAAATCCCACATAATTTTTAAGCTATTAGAACTATCTTCTCAGACTCATTCAATTTAGCGTAAAAATTTTCATTGAAGACAATATTTTATTGATTGATATTGCTGCTAGATATAGCAATGTCAGACGCGCAAAAAAGTACAACTAGGAAGTAATAATTTTTTTACATAAAAACTATTTTAGCTTCTAATAATCCTATTGAAGCGTCTTTGGTTTCATTCATTTTAGTGAATGAATACATAAATAACAATACTGCTCTTGTCTGGAAAGCAATGTCTTAGGCGTAAATACATACAACATTGTGCTTTTTGTACATAAACCCTTAAACCTTCAAAACTACAAGTCTTATATTCTCGTGCCTGGTCGAGTTCGATTCAGCAAGAAAAAAAAACTGATCAAAAACTCATTTTTTTCCTAGTTGACGAAAGTATCGCATGCAATTTTAATAAATTCTAAATTCGGCGTACAGTAATTAAAAACAATCATTAATTCTAAAATGAATGTTGCTCTAAAATGATTATCTTTCATAAAATTTAAGTTTGAGCAAAATTAAGCATTAAATATATTTTGAACAAACTCTATTTTGAAGTTACGTTTAAGAATATCAACCTCTAAAAACAAACGAAACTGAAAGGAGCGATTTTTTTTGTTTGAAGAATTTAGATGTTTTAAGCTCATGACCGCGGTTTGGTTTTTAATATACATTTTAAAAGAAATAATTATGAAAAAAAAGCATCACATCATACCATAAGTTAAATTATAACTTGACTATTATCATTTCTTAAAATATTTTTTTTCTGAAAATCTGAAGGTTTTGTACAATTTGTAATTTTGTGTTACTGAAGAAAGTAAGTTTTTTGATGGCTCTTTTCTTTTGGCAAATACGAATTAAAAGATGCTTTGTTTCTTCGTTTAATTTTATTTATTACGTCAGATTTAGTAAATA